CCTGAAGCTAGGGCTGGGGTGGGGGGACCCCAGGGTCGGTCAGCTTGGGCTCACAGTCCCTGTGGCCCTGGACCTGCTCCTGCTGGCTCAGAGCCTTGATGCCCCCATCAGTGCCTGTGACTCTGATTCCCCGGAGGACCCGCGGCACCTCACCCCAAGCCCCCACCTCCTCACATAGGGTGATGGGATTCCTGCTGTGGGGGGTTTATAGGAAGCAATGAGGGCCCGGGCTGGGCCAGCAAGAGGACCTTGGGCAGGGTTACCCCCCACCCCGGGGAGAGCCCTGCAGACCTGAGGCCACCCCCATGTGGGAGTCCAGTGTCAGGGGGCAGGGCCCGGGCACCTGCCCTTCATTTGTTCGGGGGCCTTTGGAACATTTCTTCCAGGATGACTTTTGTACAAAGAGAAGTTCCTCCAATCGCATTTGGGGTTTGAACGTCAGTTCCTAATCTGTTGAATCACACGCTCAAAACCCTGTCTGCCTTGGGCTTGAGGTCGCTGGGACAAGCCTGTTGTTTCTGTGCCTGCGAAGGTCCTGTCCTAGGTGGGCGGGCCTCTGAACCTCGCTCTGCCCCACAGACAGCCTGCCCAGAGCTCTGTCAGCTGCCACTGCTGTGTATAAGCACCTTTACTTCCTAAAATTTTTTTAAATGGTGGTAAAATACACATAAAATTTATGATCTTAGCTGTGTCAAGTGCACAGCTCGGGGGTATTAAGTGCATTCATGCTGTTGTGTGGCTGTCCCCACCATTCGTCTCCAGGACTGTCTGTCCCCTTGAGACACTGACCCCGTCCCTCCCCTGGCCCTGTGACCACCATCTACTCTCTGTCTCCAGGAGACACCCCGTCACTCCCCCTCTGTGACCACCGTCCACTCTCTTTGCCCAGGAGTCACTGACCCCGTCCCTCCCCCCCCGTGACCACCGTTCACTCTCTGTCCCCAGGAGACACCTCATCTGTCTCACTGTCCATTCTGTCCCTGTGAATCTGGGGACTCCAGGGACCCCGGGGGAATGGATCACACAGGATTTGTCCTGCGTCTGGCTCTCTTGGCCTGTCTGAGGCGCCTCCTCTCCCTGGGCCCACAGGACTCCTGAAGCACTCACGCAGTCCTATACTCAGTAAATTAAGCGTCCAGACCCAGCTCTGCTCATGTTCTCTGTGACCTCGAATTCCAGGGTAACCCCAGGGTAACCTGAAAGCAATGTTCTTGTGCACTGGGGGCCCGAGGACTACGGGAGCAGCTTTCTGCATGTGTGCTGTGTGTGGGGTTCACCTTAAGGATCATTGGAAGACCCCCACCCCGAGGTGAGAGGTGCCTCCCAGCAGGTTGGAGAGACCTCGCTGTGGCCTCAGTGCTCCCGGGGTCCCCGCACCCTGCTGCGCCCTCCTGCTGTCCTGGACCAGGGCCCTGGCACGCCACCTGCATTCTTCCCCGTTCCCAGGGCACCTGGCCGCCGCAGGTGCTGAAATGATGACCGATAACATTCAGGACATCCCCCTGGCACTCCCAGCCCCGGCCCCTGGCCAACAGCACAAGCAGGGCATTGTCCCTTGGGGACAAGGAGCTGCCACCGCGCTGGGGGCTGGCATGGCTGCTGGGGTGTCCACGTCCTTTGTGTCCCCAGCCTGGTTCCCGTGCCCTGACCCCGGAAATGGGCCAGATTCCTCCTTTCCTGAGCTGCTGTTTGCTGGCTCGGGTCTGTGGCCACCTGGTTCAGGAGGTTTGGGGGACGGGCTGGGTCGGAGGGGTGGTCTCACCCTAGGCTGTACCTCCACACCCCCCGGGCAGGGCCCCTGTCTCAGCATCTCTGAGGCTCCAGGACCACCCATGGCAGGACGGAGTAGATGAAAGGAGGCTTCAGGACACGGCAGGGCCGGGGAAGGACCATGTGTGTTTGTGCGCCAGCTGCCCCCTGACCCCCCAGGGAAAATACTCTGCAGGGGCCCTGGGCTGCTGGCTCCCACGCCCTGGCCCAGAGCTTCCGTCGGCACAGGGACCTCCCTGTAACCTCTGACCGGGGACCAGGGGTGCGGACCCCCATCCTGATGTCCCCTCAGAGGGACGGCCAGGGCCTATGAGGAAGTAGGGCTGCTTCCCTCCTGACTGCGACCCCCGCCCTGGGTTCATCCTGCTTCCTGAACATAGGCCCTGGGTGGTGGGCAGAGGGGCTCCAGGGCAGCGGGCGGAGGGCCCCGGGGCCCCAGCTCCCAAGCTGTGTGTGGCCCTCCTGTGGGGCCTCCTTGCTCCTGCCCGATGTAGTCCTGGCAAACTATCACCTTCTGCCTTGTAGCCAGAGGTCATGCTAACGGGGACGGTTGGTGCAGGACCACTGCCTGGCAGGAAAAGGGTTGAAAAGTGACAGCTGGCCGACGCAAGGTCCACGGGGTCCTGGAATCGGTGCCACATGGAGGGGACGCAGGTGGCCTCTTGGGGCCCCAGAGCTCAGCTATGGAGGGCCTGGCAGGTGGCAGGTGCACATCACGACACTCCTGAGAGGGCAGACGCACCTCGGTGCCCATCCCTTGCTTCCCCTGCCTCGGGGGCAGGAAACCCTACAGATCCTGGAGCTGGCTGCAGCCCCGGGCCTCACCTCTCTTGCCTGCAGGACGTGAAGGCCTGGGGTTGGGGATGGCGGGGGCGTGGGGTGTGGAGAGCGTGACTCAGGCACAGCTGCTTTTGTGGAAGTGGAGACCGTCGGTTAGAGAGTCACGGCTCCCGGAGATGTTGGCGTCCTGACCCTGGGACTTCATGCAGCACGGGGGGGGGGGGGGGGGGGCGGGGGGGGGTTGATGGTTGCGGCTCAGTGAGGACCTTGAGGTGGGACACCCTGGATTCCTGGCGGCCCTCAGCGCCCTCACAGATGTCCATAGGATGGAGGTGGGAGGGGCACGGGCAGAGGAGCCGCCGTCTCAGAGGTGGGATGACATGAGCCTGCCATGCTGCCCTCCCCGAGGCCACCTCTAGGGACCCAGCCTTCTTGTCACCTCATGTGACCTCACCCCAGGAAGCTCAGCCCCCACTTGTCTGGCCATAGCACGGCCGCATCCCCGGGACTTGGCTTACTGTCCCTAAAGCAGCCAGTGGGGGACCTGGGTGGTGGCGCCTGCTGGGGCCTGACAGGGAGGGGGCATCTATCCTCTGGGGCTGTGGAAGGAGAGGGCGCAAGCTTGGGGCTCGTCCCAGGCCTGGTCCCTGAGGCCCCCCCGGACATCCGGCTGCCCTGCCATCTGTGCCCGTGGGGAAGTCCCAGGGCTCTGGCTCATGTCGATGGCGAAATAGGCCGAGGCTTCTGCTCAGCACATGGCCGAGGAGGGAGAGGGCAGGCACCGTGTCTCCTTCCTCGGCCCTGTCTGCACCCAGAGACCTGGGGTGGGGCTGGGTGGGCAGCTCCTGGCCGAGCTGGGTAGCGAGCCCTCTGGGACTGGGGTGAGTGGGTAGGGGGACCAGAGGGGATTCTAGGTGTGGCAGGAGCATGTAGCACCGTGCGCGTGGCCCTTTGCCCTTCTGGACTGTGGCTGGTGAGCTCCGAGCCCAAGCAGTGGTCTGGCAGCCGGCGGGTGCTCACGTTCTCTGGCGGCATTTACCTAGGTCCTGGTGGGACGGGACCCCACCCTGCTCACCCCTACCCCTGCACGCATCTCATTCACCCCTGTCTCACTCACCCCCACCCCTGCACACCCCCCATGGTTCTGGCAGGAAGGCCTGGCCATACCTATTGAACTGCCTTACTGTGGGCTGGGGTCCTGCTTCTCCTTGGTGGAGGCCAGGTGGGATGGGACACCCTTCCAAGTGAGCGAGAGGGTCCGCAGAGTTGGAGTGGTGCAGAGTGTGGGTGTGCAGGGCCCCTGGCAGGAGATGGTACATGTGCAAAGACCAGGAGGCTTGATGCCATCTCAGGTTGGCCTAGGAGGGTTGGGGCGGCAGGGACAACAGCAGGTGCAAAGGCCCTGAGGCAGGCAGGGCCCAGCCTGCTCAGGAGGAGGGATGGGAGGTGCTGTGTAGCCTGGGCTCAGCATGGTGTCCTGCTAGGCGGTGATGTCGAGGGCTCCGCCAGCTGCCGGTGGGGTGGGCTGTGGCGGCCCAGGGTGGAGGCTGATGGGCTGGGATCTGGCTTTGCAGGTGGAGCCAATCAGCCTGGGTAGTGAGGGAGGCGCAGGTGGCAGGTCTGGGCCGATGCTGCTGAAGGGCAGAGGTGGGGTGGGAAGGGCTGAGCTGGTGCAGGGAGATGCAGGGGGCTTCTTGGTGGGCACGGGGTGGACACATGGGGAAGCCCCGGGAGCAGCGGGATCTCGGGCTGGGGAGCCACCTGGGGTCTGTGTGCCCGGCTACGTGCAGCTTCCTGCCGTCCCATCAGTGAGGAGCCCCTGGAGCCCCCTGGAGGACTCCCCAAGACCGACCCCCTCCCCAAGGAGGAGGGCTGGGGTTGGTCCCATGATGTCCAGGGATGTGGGGGGCATCTGCAGGGCCCCTGGTGACTGCCAGTCTTCTTTCCATCCCCGTGGCACCCACTCTGGATGCTTCGTATAAAGGGAGCCACACAGCACATGGCACAGAGAGTGGCTGCTTGGCACCTTGTGTTAAAGCCTGTCCTGCTGTGGGGGGTCAGGCCATCGGGGGGCTCAACTCAGTGTGGGGGGGTGTCAGCCTGCCATGGGGGTGGTCAGCCCGCCATGGAGGGGTTCAGCATGCCATGGGGGGGTGAGCCTGCTGTGGGGGGGTCAGCCCATCATTGGGGGGTCAACACACCGTGGGGGGGTCAGCACGTGTCCTCCACAGCTGGCAGTGCCCCCTGTGGGCACCAGGGTTCTGGCTTCTCAGATCCGGGGAGGGAGGGTCCTGGTCCCACGTGGCAGGGACAGGGATGGGGGCCGGGGTGGAGGTGGGAGGTGCCCCCCTGGCCCCTGGGCCCGTGTCGGTGTCGGTGGGGGTGGGGCGGGGAGGCTGGCCACTGGAGCTGACCGCCGGAGCTGACCGCCGTGTCCTCCCGCCCCACAGCTTCCTCATCGTCCTGGTCTGCCTCATCTTCAGTGTCCTGTCCACCATCGAGCAGTATGTCGCCCTGGCCACAGGGACCCTCTTCTGGATGGTATGTAGCAGCGTGAGGGGCCATTGCAGCAGTCACAGACGCTGGGGCTCTGGTCTCCTGAGCGAGCGGGCCGCGGGGTGGAATGAGCTGCATGATGACCCTGCCCCAGTGTCCCCTCTGCTGGCCAGCTGCTGTGGGACACTGGAGGTGTGGGGACCCCCACCCTCACTCCTACGTTGGTCGGGAGGTGACAGCCTGGGACTGGCAATCTGGGAGGGCTTCCTGGAGGAGGGGGCTTCTGAGCTGGGCTGGGAAAGGAGCACAGGAGGACCTGTTAGCAAGCTTGCCACAGCTGCCCCGTGGCCCTGGGTCTGGGTGACTCCTGACCTGGGCTGTGACCCTACACCGACCCTTCCCAGAATGCCTGGCCCACCTGGCTGGCCCCTTCCACTGACCTGTGCCTGTCTACCTGACTTGAGATGCTGTTGTCATAGTAAACCGCATGTCCAGGTGCCCTCGGATCTGCTCGGAGACTATCCGGTCTCGTCGCCTCCCAGTGCTGCTTCCCTGACCGTCCTTGCTCGTTGGCTCCTCCTAGTGACCCCCACTGTCGCCGTCGGCCTCACCATCAGGACAAACCTGATGGCGTCTGATGGGTGCGCGTCTGGCGGATGCATCTGGGGATGCTGGGGTCTGTCTGGGGTGAGGCCTTCCCGCCCACGACCACGGTGTCCGTTTGCCAGGAGGCCTTCGGGCTTTGTGATGAGTCTAAGCCGGTCACTGTGAAGGGGGTTCCTGGTGATGGTCGTCGTTTCTGGCAACTGCCGCCACAGACGGACTTGCCCTGCTGCCGTAGTTTCTGGAGCGGTCTCTCTCTCTCTCTCTTTCTCTCTACGTGGAAGCCACTGACAGTTGTCACCTGTACAGCCCGTGATTTTACGACATTTGATCGTTGCTGGCGGTGTCTGTTCTCTGGTCCCGCAGAGCTTTCTGCATGTGGGCTGATGGCGGCACAGGCCTGTGTCACCAGATTGGGGTTAGCGTGGTGGTCGTGACGCCCGTGGTGGCTGCGGGGCGCCTGGCTCTAGGGGGCGGGCCCCCCCCGCCCCGTGCTGCTCTGGAGGGGGTGCTGGCCTCGGGCTGGCAGGACCTGTGCTTTCCTGTTGGGCGAGTCCTTCGGGTCCGAAGTGAAGGTGACTTTGTCCATGGAGCGGCTGTGACAGCGTGTGTCCTGATGGGGGTCTGCTCGCTGTCCTGTTTTCTGTGGTCCTGTCAGATTTGGCTTTTTCATGTAAAAGTAGGGACGTGCTTAGCGTCTAATAACAGGGTGATGAGAGTGGCAGCCTTTGGGGGACAGACCTCCCCTCCTCCGCCGGGTCCCCTGGTCCTAGGGACCCACGGAAGCTGCCATGGGCGCCGACCTGGCCCCTCCAAGGACCCGGGGCTACAGCACCTGGGGAAGGCTGGCTGCTCCTGCATCCGGGCCACAGGTCAGCTGCCACCGTCCTCGAGGAAAACATCCCCAAAGCCCTGCCCTGGTGGCCCTGGTGCAGGCAGCGGGGCGGGGGTGGTGGTGGTGGTGGTTGTTGTTGGTGGTGTCCATGTTGACACCAAGGGCGATGCTTCTTGCTGGCCCTCCACCTGCTTCCCAGGGTGGGGACTGTCCTTTCTGTGGGACAGCCGGGGAGGAGCTGGGGGGGGGGACAGGAAAGGTGAGAGGGGTCTCTGTGTTTCGGGTTATCACATGGCCATCCGAGCCCGGGCCCAGACCCCATGGAGCGCATCTACTGTGCAAGTCCAGGTGTCTCCCTTTCCTGTCCACACGTCCGAGGTGACCGATCTCCTTACCTGCTGGAAGCTGAGGCTTTGGGAGCAGTGGCTGGACTCCAAGGGGCCTTTCTGCTGGATGAAAGTGCTGCCGGGCACAGGGGCTCAGAGAGAGTCGGGGCCCTGGGCCCGGGTCCTGTGCAAGTGTCCTGGGGCAACCGTAGCAAAGTCGCACAATGTGTGGCTCAGAGGGCATTTATCTCCCACAGCCCCAGAGGCCGGGAGTCATAGGTGAGCGGCCAGGACAGTGTGGTCACTCATGGTGACGCTCCCCTCCAACTGTGTCCTCACATGGAGGGAGGGGGCTCCCTAATGTCCCTTCTTACAAGGACACTGATCTTCCAGGGTCAGGGCCTCCCTGCAGCAACCTCCTGTTACCTCAGTCACCCTCGTAATGACCCCATCTCCAAATACAGCTGTGTTCTGAGGGGCTGGGGGTTGGGACACCAGTATGTGAACTTGGGGAGCACACAGCTGGGACCATAAGGCCCCCCTGAGTGGTTTGGGTGATACTCCGATACTGGGAGTCCTGCTCTGGGGCTTTAAAAGTCTCCAACAACACGGAGTTTCTGGGTTGCTGTGAGGCAGGGTGTGGGCACCGAGGGTCCTGAGTTCAGGTGGTGACCATACCACGTCCTCGGGCAGCTCCGACCCGGCCCCCAGGTGCAGCCGGGAAGGGAACAGAGCCTGGTGGAGCCACCCATGCCCGGCTGGTTGGGCCCCCATGGACACGGTTCCCAGGCCCTGTGCGGGGCGTGGAAACCAGACCAGCAGAGGTGTGACCCCACGACAGCCCCGGCGTGGGGGGCAGACCCCAGTCTGACCTGGTGCCCCCTCTCCTGTTGACAGCCGGCCAGGAGCACCTCCAACCCGGACAAGGCTTCTCACGCTCAGAGCTCACAGTTGATGGGCTGGGGAGGCAGCTGAGGGCTCCGGTCGCATCCTGGCAGCCCCCCCATGGCCCCTGCCCCCACTCAGCGCCCAAGCAGCTTCCCCATTCCACCCACCCTCCAGCATCCCACCCGCCCCCAGCATCTCACCCACCCCCAGCATCCCGGCTGCCCCCCAGCATCCCGGCTGCCCCCTAACATTCCACCCACCCCCAGCATCCCGGCTGCCCCCAGCATCTCACCCACCCCCAGCATCCCGGCTACCCCCCAGCATCCCACCCGCCCCCCAGCATCCCAGCCCCCCCCATCTACCTGCCTCCTCTCTCAGGGTGGGGGGGGCCCTCTCTGCCAGGCTTGCAGTCCAGACATCTGTGAGGTCCGTGCGCCATCTGGTGGCCGTCATCTGAACCGCAGGCACGGGCAGAGGAGGGGAGAGGCGTGTGGGTTGGGTCCTGTGCCGACCCAGGCCGCTGCCCTGTCCAAGCAGAGAGCCCGCTGCCGCTGCGCCCCACCTTCCTCGACCTTTTGAGGGCCGAGACCCCTCACAGCGTCCCATGTCTTCCGCCCTGTCATGTCTGCCGCCTCCTGTACCCCCCCGTCCCACCAGGGCCCTCTCCCCCGGCAGCCTTCTTTGGTTGGGGTGGGTGATGCTTTTCAAAACAAATCTGACCACTCCCCCAGTGCCCCGTTGAAATATGCTTGGCCTCTCCCTCTAGGCCTCCAGAATGCTGCACCTTCGGCACCTGTGCCCCCATGACTCTGCCCTCCCTCCCTCTACCTCACTCTCCCTCTATCCCAGTGCACTTCTGCTGACCCAGCTGCCTCAAGGCCTTTGCACGTGCTCTGCTCTTGACCTGCTATTTCTTTGGCATGTTGCATGACTGACTTCTCATCCAGTTCCAGGCCTCTGCTTGACTGTCGCTGCTTCTGAACCTGCCGTCCAGGGTTCCCCATTCCTCCCCCCTGAGGCATCTGCTCTTTCCCAGCAGTCTGGGTACGCATGGGGCGGGGGCGGGGGTCCTCCATGGGTGGGTTTACAGCTTTCCACGGTTGTCAGTCCCTGAGGGCAGAGGTGCAGTGATTGCACTGACCCCACATGCCCAGCCTGATGCTCCCAGGACTTGGGACTTCTCTGCCTTGAGGCCCTGTGCCCAGAGCTGCCCCCGCGGACACTCCAGGGCCTCAGCTGCCCCTGCCCTGTGAAGTAGAGGGGTGGTCAGGACGGCCTCAGACTTAGCCCTCCGATGGCCTTGCTAGGTTTCTAAGGACTCCCCGGCTCAGTGGCTGCATGGAGCTGGATATTCGAGGGGGTTTGAGCTGGCCATGTCTGGCTGCCACTGGACCGTTATGGCCATGGCAGGCACTGGGGCCCCAGTGGGGAATGAGCCCAGCCTCCAGGGGCAGATGTGAGTTATGTCCCGTGGTGGGGCCAGGAAGGAGGTGCAAGGTGCAAGGTGAGGAGGGACAGGGTGGGACATGTATGCGGACGCTGAGGGCTTATCCAAGGAGGGGAGAGTGCCAGGGGAGGGGCAGCTGCGGGGAGGGGGGAACCGGGCAAGCGCAGGGCCCCCAGGGAAGTCAGGGGCGCCTCCCCGGGGAGGTGTCAGACCCCGGGCAGAGGGAGACCTGCTGTGGGCTTCCGGGGTGGGCTTAGGGAGCCCCGGGCATGGCGGGCCGCCAGGTGGCGCTGTTGTCCGCAGGATGCGGGTGCTGCTGGCCGGGGCCCAGGGAGCGAGGGAGCCAGACCGCAGCTGGGAGCCCGGGAGGGGCCAGTGTGGGCTTGGGGCGAGGGGCTCCGCGAGCAGCCCGGTGTGTACATGGTGGAAAAACGTGTCTGTGAGCTGAGCTGTCCCAGAGAGCCCATATTTCTGCCGTTGCTTTCATGCACTCGGCGTTTACGGAGCCGAGCGCTGTTATCTGGCCGGAGCCAGGGGCCCCGGGGCGGCCTCCGAGGGATTAAGCGTTCTGCTGAAGCAGGCGGATTCGGTGCGCCTGCAAAAGCCATTTTGGGAGGCATCTCCTCTGTGCTGCAGGTCGGGCCCCGCCGGTTAGGAGGCCCACGCGGGACCTGAGCCCCACTCCCGCCTCCCGGGCACAGGGCTCCCGCTGGGGGCATGCGTGTGGGCCCTGGCTGTTGCACGGTGTGTGTGCCTGGTGCGTGCACAGCCCTGCATGTCTGCTGGTGTGTGTCCACGCGGCCGCGTGCGTGCTTCCCTCCTGCGTGCTTCCCGCCCACAAGCTTGCCCGCAGGCTGCAGCAGGCACCCCATGTCTGCACCCCCAGGGGCCAGTAGGCCCAGGTGAGGGGCTGGGTGTTGTCCCTCCCTTATGTTTTTCGGGTCCC